ATGAAAAGCAATCAAAAGAATTCAAGAAGAATAGAAAAAAGGCAAGGAAGAAAAGTGCCAAAATATTAAAGAAAAGACCTTGCCCAAGATGCCTCTAGCTAGTAAGAAAGTTTCAAAACAGACACTCCCTAGAACTAGTAAAAGTTCAATTAAAATAGAATCTTGAATATTATACATTCTTTTGTACTCTTTGACTACCTTTTATCCTTTTCTTTGATTAAGCAAAATTTGCACCAAGAAAGCCCCATTAAGCCCCCCTTACAACCCAAAATAAAGACCTTTTGGATCTTTTAATCGTATGCATTTAAATCGTGGAGAAAGGGATGACTAATTTCTGCAATGGGAATGCCACTTTTTGCACTTCAATTGTCTTTTTAAAAAAGGTTGGAAAATTCTTTAGATGATTCATGTCCTATTTAATCATAAAATTGAATAAGTAATTAGTGTTGACAAGTCTCTTTTAAACTTATATTTTACTCAATTGAACATTGCTTTATTTCAAGACTAAAAGTCAAGCTTAAGGTATGAATAGTCATGGAGATACGCATTGAGTTTATTCACTTGTTTACTAATCATGATATCTTGAAAGTTTATTGAGATCATCTCCAAGCGCATGGTAAGCTAGTGTCGTCAAATTATTTTTTTTATTTTGTTGCTTGAGACAAGCATAGTTTAAGTTTGGGGAATTTTGATAGGTGTTAATTTCATAGTGTTTTTAATATAGTTTTATTAGAATTTCAGTAAGTTTTTATTACTTTAATTTGATTTTAATTCACTTCTAGTATAATTGTGTTCAAAGCTTCGCTTGAATTTATCTCGCTTTGATCTAAGAGATAAATTGTAGGAATTTGGCCCAGAAAAGAACTTTTACAATGCAAGACACTAGCTTCTAGCAACGTCAGGCCGTGCTAGAAGGCACAAACCGTGCTAGAAGCTAAGGAAACCAAAAGGGAGAGACAGAAGAGAGCAGAGCACGGTCCAGGGTGGTGTCAAAAGGCACGGCCGTGAATACAATGGGACCCCAGGGCGTTGTCAAGCCTAGCACGCCCATGGCAATTCTAGGCAGACCTTCCAGAAGAAAGCACGCCCTAACCTGTGCTTGGTAGCACGCCCGTGCCTCAGGATCCATTAGCCCAGCTGCCTAAAGCACACCTCCGTGCTCACTAGCCAGACTTCCAGACTAAAGCCACCTCAGCCCCCGTCCATGAAGCACGCCCATGGCTGCGCAAGGCGGAACCAGCGTGAACTAGATACGCAAATCAAGGCTTTTTTATCAATGGCGACCTCGGGGAGTTTCCTAACACACAACTAAACCAAGACTAGACCTATTTTGGAGAAAAAGGAGTCCCTAATCAAGAAAGAGGAAATCAAAAGCCTAAACAGTCATGATCTCCTACAAAGGATTTTGCACTAAATAAGGATTCTATTTCCTAAAAGGAATCAGACTCACCTCTAGGAGCTCTATATAAAGAGGGAAAATTTTCATTGCTAGGGATCTCGTTTTTTTTTTGTGCAATTCTTTACATAATCCTCTCTCTCTCAAAGACTTCAAGCATCTAAGAATTGTGCCAAGAATCAAGGAAACCATCCACATAGTTGTGATATAGTTTTTATTCTAAACTCTTCATCTTGTTTCTTTCTTTTATTATTGTCTTTAAATATGATGAATGATTCAAGTATGTATGAATTTGAGTTTTAATTTAATTACTATGTCCAGCTAATTTATACAGGGATTTGAAATTGTAATTTAATTCGATTCCAGTTTTATTAATATTAGATTTGTTTTTTTTCTTTGTTCTCTCGTTAATAAATTTATTATTGTGCTTAATGCTTCCCAGGCAGAAAATTTCCCCTGGATTGGAGTTTATTTCAATAATCACATTCGGGAGAAGGGTTATTGATATGCCAAAAGATAATCCATTTACATTGAGAATAATAACTTGATGCGGAAGCTATACTGGTTTGACTCAAGGGGGGTTTTTTCACCTAAGTTAATAAATTGAATTAAGTTGTGAAACTCACACAAACAACCATAAAACTAATTGATCTGATTTATGTTTAATTTCACTATAAAGATAGGTAGATTAAACTGGATTAGAATAGCTAACAATAAAATCAGGAGAGGCTTGTTAGTAACTTAGGGTTTTCTCCTACTTGAACAATTAAAGTTGATTAATGAACTAATAGAATAAGCTGGATAGAATTAAGTGAAATCAAATTCCCTAGTAGCTTAATTCCCTAGTTTCTTTTCACCTGAATTTTGTGTTTGATCTCTTCTGTTTTTACTTTAAAGTTTATTTACCTTATAGTAATTCTCTCTTACCATCGTCTAAATAATAATAGGTTAACATAATAACATAATTTTGGTAATTGATAAACAATCCATGTGGATACGATACTCTCTTACTCTATATTACTTGTTGCGATTTCGTACACTTGCGAAAACCGCTGTCAACCACCTCCAAAAATAAATCATTAACTCTCATATTAGGCTCAATAAATTCCAACCCATCATCATCCATGAACATATCCTCCTTTGGCAACCAAGGAGCGCTAGCAATTTTAATGTGATCTTCATCCCCTACCCTCCATCTCACCCCTTGCTTTAACATGTTGCTAGAGAACAAAACATTCTTCCGGACATAACTAGGATTATTACCTAGTGAAGCATTTAGGAAATCCATACTCCCAAAAATATTTAGCTTTGGAGAGTTTATAAAAAAGAGTATTAGGCTTAGTAACTAACCTCCACTCCTGTTTCCCTAACATAACCACATTAAAGCAATGAAGATCATGAAAATCCATCCCTCCATCCTTTTTTCCTACTACACATACGATTCCAAGAAAGCCAATGATCCCTCTATGCCCATCCACCCTACCACCCCCCTAATAGCGATTCATAATTTTCTGCAAATCAGCACAAGAGTAATAGGAAGGAGAAAAACTCTCATATAATAAGACGAGATTGCCTGTGCCACAGATTTAAGAAGAATCTCTTGCCCTGCCCAAGACAAAAAACTATGAGACCAGCTATTTACACTCCCCACAATCTATTCTTAAGATAGTTAAGTACCTATTTCGGATTTCTAACAATCATCGAGGGAAGACCCAGATATTTACGCCCACAAAAGAATTATGAACACCTAATACATTCAAAATATTAGCCCTTACCTCATCTCTAATATTAGGACTAAAAAATACACCAAACTTAACAAAATTAATAGATTGCCCATAAGTTCTCTCATAATCCAACAAAATATTCTTAACCCAACCCACTTCCAACACATTAGCATTAAAGAAAAAAAGAGAGTCGTCCGCAAATAAAAGATGTGAAATTTTAGGACAACCCCTGCCAGCTCGACAACCATGAATCCAACCGTTACACTCAGCTTCCAAAAAAAAATAAGGTTAAGCCCTCAGCACAAATAAGAAATAAATATGGCGAAAAAGGATCCCCTTGCCTAAGTCCCTTGCCTAGAATAATAGGCCTAACAAATTCCCCGTTTACTAACACAAAATAATTAATAGAAGAGGTGCACATCATCATCCAATCAACCCACTGACTAGCAAAACCCAGACCCCGCAACATAACCTCAAGAAATTCTCATCTCACCCTGTCATAAGCTTTGCTAATATCAATTTTCAAAGCACATCAATTGCAAATTTTTAGTTATTGTATAATCATTTTAAATAAAATTTTAAAATTCAATTGAGAATCATGATATCAAAACTTTAATTTATCCACACGACACAACATACAATCAAGTATACACATAAGCATATTTTGTGTTACTTTTTTTAACAATAGTTAGATCAACAATATTCATATCGTGTCTCATATCAACATACTACAAGTCAAAATTATTTAATGATTAAAATTTAATAAGTGTTGAAAAATTAATTTTAATTGTTGAATCGTATTATTGAACACCACTAGAGAAGTGTTTGATTACTGAAATCATATGAAAAAGTGACGTAGAAATATAAAATTATACTGTCTAATTTACAGGATTGATTTATCTAAATTGAGTAATGTGCCCACTCATGGATCAAACCAATAAAAAATTATTTTTTATTAACATGATAGTATTTTGGACATGCACTAGAAAAAAGTATATCAATAATTCTTTAACAACTTCCAATATCATTAGTTTGGTCCATAGGTTAAATTCCATGTCTTTTTTTAAAAAAAAAAATTAATAATAACACTCTTCCGCCCTTCCTATTAAAATTAAACTAAAAAATTCATCCAAAAAGAGAGAATATTTCCCTTACATGATCATTTTATACATGGATTTTGATAAGAGTAAAATATAATTAAATCCCTGAATTATATTCAAATTAATATTTAAATTTTTCTCTATTTGAGAATAACTATGATATCTCTAACTCGTATTTTTCTCTAATTGTTACGTCCTTCCATCCAAAAACATGAGTTATTCGCCGGTAGTTTAACATGCTTTTTCATAGAATACGCTTACGTTATAAACAGGATATGCAAATTTTTTAAAAAGGACCAAATGATGAGATAAAGAATAATTAAAAATGTTACATGTTAACTTGGCAATAACTTAAAAACCAGTTATATTTTAGCCTTTTGACAATGGTGAATGTATGAATAATTCAAAACAATATAAGAGAACAAAAGCAAAAATTAGAATTTCCAATTCACTTGACACAAACTTACTGTAAAAGAATAAATACTAATCTTCTATCCGAAATTTCAACAAGGAACACTGGACATGCTAGAATCGATCTTTAGAATGATCATCTAATACTTTTCTTGTTATTGGTTGAAATGCATTTATTACATTTGAAGTAACTTGTTATCTCAAATAAGAGTAAATTAAGAAAGAGGGAAGTGAATTTTTTTTTTCTTTGAATCACTTGGTAAAAAATATAAATGCATTGCAACAAATAGAAGACTATTACAGTCCCTCGTAGGAATATCTCAGTTACAATAATGAGCAAGTCGAAGAGAATCACCAGAGAAGAAAGAGTTCACCACACTAAAATGATGGGATCAGTTTCAAGTCTTTTAGTAATTATTTACAGAAAGAATAAAGCCAGCACTACAGATTCAATCCAAGGTTATAGGTGTCTAAGAATTTAGAAGAACCAGAAAAAAAAACAAAAAAAACAGTATCCTCTTATCTCCTCAAAACAATTACAAACACATTCCTATTGACTGCAAACCCAGCGAAAAGACAACACTAGCCCTCATGCCTAAAAACCGGGAACAGTTTTCGGTTCCCATTAGATAATTGTAGGTATCTAATCAAAAGCAACTTCCTTCAATAACAGGAAGAGAGCATCAAAAACAATTTTCAATCGCCCATGTAGATGCCAGTCTAAGATCAGCAGATAAACAGAACTACCTATCATCATTGCCGCGGTTCCTTCGGGGTGACGTAGCTTCTGCTTTCAGTGACATTAGAATTGGCAAGGACCTCTGGAGCAATTTCCCAGCTCCCACTTCTCCTTCCCCAACTGGAGTGTCGAGTGTCTGGTCGAATTGTGGGGGCTCGATGATCTGAATTCAGAACTGAGTCCATTTCTGAGGTGTTATGTGGAGGCCCATTACTCCCTCTGCTGCGTATGTCCTCGTCAATTTCTTCAATGTTACGTCGTTGGGAAATTTTCAATAGATCTTCACCAATCTCTAGATCATCTTCGACCTTTGTACGTGGATCCCCGCCTAAATCTTCTGCTCCTGCTCCTGCTTCTGCTTCTGCTTCCCGAGTGCTGGGCAAAATGGGCCTTGGTACCTCCTCTTGAACAAAAGCCCGGAAGTTGTTCTTCGAGGGCTTAACCTTCGTGCAAAATACTTCAAGAAAATTATCAACACAACCCAAGTTGTACACATTGATCCTGTTGTCTGCTCTGTACCGGAAATTTTCATAGGTAGTCTGGATAAGAAGTAAAAACAGTTTTTAACTGGTGTAGAGCAGGCATAGAATGGCATCATCTCATTACAGAAAAGAATTATAATGTTTAGGGTGTGCAAAGATCCCCATGCCATTATGGAAAAGAAATCATCATTTAAACATAAATCCTTGAAGAAAGTCTTTCACATTTAATCTTTTCTAGGATTAATTACATTTTAGTCCATTGCATTTGAAGTTGTACGATGAGTATCAGAGGGATGTATGATTAGTATGATGAGAATTTGTCTGGGACTGAAGCTGTACTGCTAAAAAATGTCTCTTTGGTTAGTTTAATGCTTCAATGGATTTACCAGGTTCATCAATGGTGAAAATTTTTATATTGCGAACAACTTTCATTTGTATAGATTGTTGTGACCTCAGAATCCAAAAGATTGATAATGACGCTTATAGTCAATAAAAGGACAGGACCTAACCAGAATCCTATCACATATTTTTCTAAACAAGATCTTCGATGAATCAAACTCATTACATTTAGATCAAGCCCATAATAATCCAAACAAGAGAACTGACCTGGTTTGAGCCAATGAGGTACAAATGGAAGCCAGTAAGTCCACCGACGAACCAGAGGGATATAAAACAATAGGCCATCAGAATGACAGATGCAGGCGATTCTTTCATTGCCCTCCAGACTGTGCTTTGATAATCATCCATTAAAATTTTAATGTACAAGGCTGACATGGCGAACACATAGATACAAAGAAGAGTTGATGATGAAACAAACATGAAGAAGTAACGGTAGTTGCGCTGCACATATCATCAGACTCAGGTCAAATATGAAGAATCACTACTGCAGATTGAGTCAAAACTATGTAGTTGATTGAGAACCCAAAAAAAAAAAAAAATGAACAGTGAAAAATTTAACAGTATACAAACAGCATACCAAACCAATGCATTGGCCCACCCAAGGGCAATGATGATCAAATCGTTCCACACAGTTGTTACAAATGGAACAATGTGAGCAACGGGGAGGCCGGTAAAGCATGCACGTGTCACAATACTTCACTCGAACAGGAATCCCATTAACCATAACTTCCTTTGTCCGAGGGAACTGAAGACTTGGTGTTTGTCTTCCTCCAATCTCAGCTGACATAGAAGTATCATAGCGGAACTCTTCTTCTGGTGGATGAGAATTACGTGGAATAACACCAGGGTCCCGGGCTGATGTTAGAAAGAGAAGAACCAGCACCTGTCAAAATCAACATAGGATTAAAACAAACACCAGATAACCAGTGGGGATTATAAATTAGAATAGGAAAATAAATGAAAATATATTGACTACCCTAACTATAACAAACAGGGTTAGTAATGGAGGTCAATGGACCTTCACTTGAGAATACATCTATCAGTAAGTACCTCAAATGTAATACAAACTATATAAAATTCACAAATAAAAAAGATAAGTAACAAAAAAAATACCAACAATCATTAATAGCAGAAGCCTCAGGCACATTCTACTAGAACATATCGATTGCGAGCCAAAACCAAAGATGATAATTTCGAGTTTTCCTAGTTAAAAATTGGGAACAGACATTATGCAATAACAACAAATACTAAGCTTTAATCCCAATCTAGTGGTCGGCTATATGAATTTTACGTTTCCATTTTGCACTGTTCATATTCACACTCTCACTAATATCCAGAAACAGTAGATCTTTTGAAACAACTTCTCTCCATGTGGTTCTAGGTCTACCTCTTTCTCATCAACAAAAATTCATAAACCATTTTTCCATCATCAAATCAAAGAATTGAGTTCCTCTGACCTGAACTCTCAGCTTTAAATTTCAGTTAACACCATCAAATAATTTAAACTACCGGACCAAATAACCATCAAATTTTCAATTACTTGAAAATGTTATCAAACTTCATCTGAAAAACATTTCTTTTTTATTTCATCAAATCCAACAGTACTTCATGCAAAAGATCTTTTTTAACCCTTCAAATCAAAATATTACCAGTTCAACTAATTGCATTAAAATAACTTAAAAAGAAGAAGAAGATAAAAACACAAGTTTCCGTGAATATTAATAATCTAAAGTCAATTATTACTTATCAGTTTAATAAATATTAAATGTTTGAGGCAAACCATGAATCTAGAGTCTCAGTAGGTGATAAATTAGAAAAACGCCGAATGTATAGGCATGAAATTTTTAACTTTGAAATTCAATAGAAAAGATATAAGTTTATAGGATATGTAGATATCAAAAGAAAAATACAAGGTTTTCTAAAATATGTATAGGTCTGAGGTTATTTTAGTCCAATAAATTAGATTATTTGAAGGAGCTAAGTTGGTTTAATACGGTCAGGGTGTTCGATTGAAGGAAAAAAAATCTATGGATATAATGTATGCGGAAAAAATTAAATGGGATAAAATGGATTGATATTGGTGGGATCTGACTCATTATTAGGGATCAGTCCTGAACTTGATGGATATGCTTATCCTTTTTGAGATTCAAAAATATTTATTTAGTCCTAAAATTCACCTCAGGTGAAATACTAATGTTAATTGGATGATATATGGTCATCTCACCAGTCACCATCAAAGGTCATAGTCTCTCACCTGGCTCAAAAGAAGCCAAGCCCCACCAAATACAAGGTGGATGGCCACTTGTTGCTTCAACATGCATATTTTGTGCTGAAGAATGATACACAAGTGATTACTAAAATTATAAAAATATATATCATAAAATGACTGCAAGCATGCTTCAATAATAAAAGATTAGCCACACATGTCAAAATATCAGAATGGACCTCAAAGTTATTGGATACTGGTTAGTGATAACAAAGGTTCAGTTCCCAGATTATCATCCTCTCCACAAGTGGACTTATTCAAGTACATGATGTTCCTCTAGACTCCTAGAATAAACACCAACAATCAAGTTGCATGCAGTTTAGCGAACTTACATAGATAGTGAAGACAATTGCTACCACTAGGACTGCATATCCTGCATTATGTGGAGAGAATGCATGTCGAAGATGCCTCGCAACAAATACACAAAAGATTACTACTGGAACAATGATCAGCAATAATGTGACAATTAATGACCGAGCATCAGGTCCAAATATCAACCTCCCACCAAGGATGAACTTCTGTAAAATATGGACACAAGAGACAGTCAGATGTGGAGAATATGTCAAAGTAAATAGTCTTGATTGGTCAAAAGAAAAAAAAAAAAAAAAAAAAAAAAAAAGTGACAATTAATGACCCGAGCATCAGGGTCCAAATTATCAACCTCCCACCAAGGATAACTTCGAAATATGGACCATCCAAGAGACAGTCAGTATTGTGGAAATATGCTCAAAGTAAATATCTTGATTGGTCAAAAGAAAAAAAAAAAAAAAAAGAAAAAAAAAAGAAAAAGAAAAAAAAAAAAAAAAAAAAAGAAAAAAAAAAAGAAAAAGAAAAAGATTTTTCTTTTTGGTTATTGAAGAAGATAGCCTCACAGAAAGAGGGAGGAAGGGACAAACAAAAAAGCACAGAGAGAAACATCAAAACCATTATCATAGAACTTCAGAGTTAAGCAAGTAGGCTTAGAGAACTGCTATAATCCATTGACAGTAGAAACCTATCTGGCCATTATTAGCAAAATAACTAAAAAAGCTGAACATAAACACGCTCTATCAGCATTGCACTCTTGTAATAAGATGTAAGTTAAATTATTTAATAGATGGGCATCTACCACATCTGTAGTCTCATTATTCATGGCCTTGATACAAAATTCGAAACAACTTGTACATAAAGTTGTGTTTGTTTCAATAGATTAAACCCAGTAAGACAGCACAATCTCCTTAATTAGTAAACCAATTGGATAGGAAATGAGAGAAAGCCGATCCTTTTCCTATCTGGTCCTTTTTCTGCCTCTCCAGTGGACAAGCTATTTAGTCCCATAGCCAAAAATAATGAATTTATAGTTCAAAACTCCCCAATAAAAAATAATAGACACGTCATTATCCTAAAAAAATTTAAATTGAAATAAATTAACTTTTTGTGTATTTTATTCAATATATGCTCAAGGTTTATCTATATATTTATTTTTCTTATTAATTTAATGCAAGTTTTTCCCATTATGTACTTATCTATTTAATATATCATAACCAATGCACAATAAAAAGCACAAAACAGCAAAAGACTTGATCGAGTACCCTTTACTCATCAAAAATACCAAATGGTCTGATTCCAAATAGAGCAAGAAACAGAAGCAATGGAAAAGGAGAGTAATTCACTATATCTAGACCATAGGGAGTAAATATTGGAGAGTGCCTCAATAAGTCCTCTTACATACATCAAAAAATTGGTGATTGTTCTGTTGAAAACTACTGAGAAGAAAACCCTAAATTTCTACAGTATGATAAATTCCAAGTTTGATTAGGCAAAAAAAGCGGGGCAGCATTACAAAATCAAAGTTCAGAATATTTTGCAAGGAAAGCACTATAAAGAGCTACAGCGCATATGGAAGACAACAAGAGTTAAGTATGCCAAGGAGAGTAATTCACTATGTCTAGACCATAGGGAGTAAATATTGGGGAGTGCCTCAATAAGTCCTCTTACATACATCAAAAAATTGGTGATTGTTCTGTTGAAAACTACTGAGAAGAAAACCCTAAATTTCTACAGTATGATAAATTCCGAGTTTGATTAGGCAAAAGAAGTGGGGCAGCATTACAAAATCAAAGTTCAGAATATTTTGCAAGGAAAGCACTATAAAGAGCTACAGCGCATATGGAAGACAACAAGAGTTAAGTATGCCAAGTAAAGCAAGCTTTATTGTCTAGCTCTCATTATGATCAGAATATTGGGATGACTCCAACTGATTGAATGCCAGAAGAAACATGAAAACTTCTCATGGGTACCTTGTGACATTTTTCTGTATGTTGAGTCTCAATTAGCCCAAATATGAACTTAGCTATATGATCTAAATTAAATGAATAACTAAAGACAACCTTCATTAGAGAAAAAAAAAAAAAAAAAAGAACTTAGCTATATGATCTAAATTAAATGAATAACTAAAGACAAACCTTCATTAGAGAAAAAAAAAAAAAAAAAAGGATACAATTTATCTTTTCAGAGAAGTGCTTTGGATGTACCAAAACCTGCCCTTCAAAATGGGACAATAATAGGAAAAATCAAAAATATTTAGCAAGTAAGGAAGAATTAAGATAACTTTTACTATCAAAAAAAAAAAAAAAAAGATACATTTATCTTTTCAGAGAAGTGCTTTGGATGTACCAAAACCTGCCCTCAAAATGGACAATTTAATAGGAAAAATCAAATATTAGCAAGTAAGGAAGATTAAGATAACTTACTAATCAGTTTCCATTTTTTAACGAGTGTGGCATGTTCTTGTACTCCATCCAATGGAGGAATCGATCTAGAATATATTCCATCGGTATACATATGAATAGAAGTATAATGTGAATTTATATCATATAATATGATTACGAATAAAAGTATATTAAATAAGAACAGAAAAAATAAACATTAGCTTAATTTTGAATTTATTATCATACTTAAATGTATTTTATGACTTTGTTCTCTGCATGTAAAATAATTTTTTTCCATCATTTTTTTCTTTCTGTTGTAATTCCAATACATAATCTATTGATTATAAAACATATAAGGTAAAAGATTTAATTATTATTATTATTTATTAAATATACCAGAACCAAAGAAACAGAAAGAACTAAATCATCAAACTGAATTGGACCGAGTTTTTATCGGTTTTGATTCTTTAAAAGTTCAGAAGGTTCTAGTCCTTGAATTGTCTTAGGACTGAGGTTTGGTCCAGCCCTGATATTTTTAATTCACGAATTTACAGGACCATGCAGAACCATAAATTCAAATCAGAAAGCCTAATCAACCAAGACCAGGCATGTGCTTTCATGGACTTAAATGCTCACAACACAAGTAACTGCAACTATCGACAAGGTGTCCTGCCATATCACAGCATATGCACCACTAATAAGAACCTAACCAGTAGTCACAACCTTATAGGATGATACAGTTGAAACTTCCACCAAAATTCATATAATTCAGTGCCAATGTTTCAGTTCTAAACTTTAACCAAACAACAATGAGAGAAACTTTACCCCTGATTCATATAATTTGTAATCTACAGTTACAATATCATCCATAACAACATATTAGATTCAGGCATGCATTATATAGCATGTCAAATATCAGATTTCAACCCAAAAATTCTTGTATTATTTGCAATTTCTTGATGCATGATACCTTATGTAAATTTAAGTTGGTAAAATATCAATTAAATTGTAATTCTAAACTATCATAGAGACCATGCTAATCTATTAAACACCAGAATACATTATAACAAATCTCAAAACACCAGGCTTACTTATCTGCTACTAACAGAAAGTAAAGCATTTGTTTGAAGAATACAAGCTGTATAAGCCAAGATTATTTTCTAAAAAACAACATGACGCCAGAAAGATAAAAATGCATAAAGAAAGAGAAATGCCTAAGACACTTCCATATACCTTTTCCTTTCAACTCGTAACACCACGCAAGAATACCAGAATACACACAACTGACAAGCTAACTCATCTTAATATGCCCATTTAACATAGTTCCGTACCTCCATCTGACTAGAAAAAACAAAATAAAAATATTTCTTTCTCTTTCTATAGCAATCATGTAATCACAGGTACGCCTAAGGAAGTAGTCTCTAGTTCTGTATATTATCATAAATCAACCAAGACTATTTAATTGGAAGTTCCTAAAAGAAGAAAAACAAAAGAAAAGATTATGGTCAATAAAATGTAGACAGGATGCTAGAATTTCTCATGATCTCTTTATTTCATATTCGTCAGTCCTCATCATGCTTAATTGTTATAATATTTATACACAAAATATGGAGGAAAACATGTCTAGTCCATACCAAGCATCTTGTCTTACAATGCATGTTACTAATGGCATCTTGCAATTGCCCTGCTTGCCTGAAAGTAGAGCACTATTTTTTTTCTTTATTGCTATGACCTTAAACTTTAATAAAAATGTCCTATCTCTTCCCTTGGCAATTTTATTCCAAACACAACACCTCAATTCCCAAGCCAAGATGGTGCAGCATTTCAAAATTCAAACTGAAGAAACAGCTGTTTTGTCAAGCATGGTATATCCTATCAGACTTGCATCATCATCAAATATGCACTGTAACTCCATCCACCATTCTGGCATTTATTACTCGATTGTTGAGAGCACGAATCTAGAGTCTAACACGCAGTAACAGGTTAAGATGATGAACCCGGAGTCTAGAAAGCAATAAACTGTAACAGTTCAATCATTCCATTGAATTGATCATGTATTTATCACAGCTATAAGAGGCATGCCTAAGATTAGTGAAACGAAAGGCCATTTCATTTTAGTCTATAGCCATTAATTGATTTGGTATGTGCCCGCATGCATATGCATGCACAGAACATCACAGATGCTATTGATAATAGCACCAGAAGTCATACCTCTATTATAGAACTTCTTTAATTTTTAAATTTCCAAATTAAAAAGAAGTCGAAGAGAATCATCTCAACATCCTGTCATATAATCATTGAGAGAAAGAAGTATAAACTCAGTTTTAGGCTATATGCTTTTAGATACTCCGGCAATGAATGAATACCAAAAATAAATAAATAAAAATAAGCACAGAATACCAGCAAGCATCACAACTACTTTAATGTTTCCAATTCAGTAGCATGACTTTTCAAACATCAAAAACACAAAATCAAAACCACACAACTTCACCATCCATTGCTTCATTCAGTGCTTCACTCATTCACAAGCCCCTTAAACGCAATAAATCAGACACGCTTCGGTCACTTACCAAACGAAGAAATTGACAAAAATAAAATGGAGTACATATATTCAGCTTTAAATGATCAACCACTAAACAACTGAAGAAAGCCAAAAAAGAATGAACGCGATGAAACCTGAGATAACAACGTAGCAACTGTTGGAATACCTAAAACCCCAACTTCCCCCTAGTTTTATCCACATTTTATCAGCAAACAAACAGAGAACCACTACCAGAGTGGTAAACTTTCATAGAAAGAGTGAGAAAACAAAAGGCATAACCCAAATTCACACTGAACCAACAAAACCCACCAACAAGTAAAGCAAATCTAAACCAAACCCAGACGCTAAAAGCCAACCATTGATTATAAGATTCAAGACGAAAAAAGCAAAAAACCAATCAGAGCATATAAAGCGCTTACATTACTTCCTTTCCACACTTCATACACGCGCTTCGCCATGATAGCAGCCTACACGCGCCGCCTCCTCTCTTCCTCCTCTATTTGTTCCTCCACTTACTACGCAGGGACGGAGTTGAAGGTTTCAAACTTGTTCTTTCCTCTGTTCATTTCAATTCAAATTCAATTTCATTCCAAAAACACCCAACCCCAAAATTAAATCAATCAGTCGCCAGGTGAAATCACAACACAGGGTGATTGGAAGAGTAAATATGGGGGTTTGGGCCTGGATTTTTGGGTATTTTAAGACAAATTATTACACACTGACTCAATGAGATAGACAAAGACAATCAGCGATATGGCGGTCTGTGGGTTTTGGAATTTTGGGACTTGAGTGAGCGTATGTGTTCGTGATTTTTTTTTTCAAAATAATAAATTTTCTGCTGTAACTTCTTTTTTTTTAATTGAAAAACAAAAATTTCAATATATTTTTTTATGTACAGTGAAAGTTTAACAAGTGTCATAACCTAAAGATAAAATATACCGTATCAGAATATAACTCGTTTAATTTCTTTAATTTATAACAAAATCAAAGTAATTTGAGTATATTGATCTTCATCTTAAAATTAAGGGTAATTTGTGATTTAATATAAATTAATTTTTTTATGACATGTGTTATACGTTGCTTTTGTTTATTATTTACCCTGTTGTTTAGACTCGTTTGTTTTTTTTAATGTTAAGTATTGGTTATAATTTTTCTTTTATATTATTTAGATTTTATAATGTTAAAATATAATTTCATATTGAGATTAAGATAAATATAATGGTTAGTTTATATTATATTTTATAAATTAATGCAATGAGTACTTTTATTTTTATCATTTTTTGCAAATGTTTATTGCATGTTATTTGTACTTATTAATTTTTACTCATTACAAGTAAATATAATTTAATTTATATATAATCATTTTTTGCCAATGTTTATTGCATGTTATTTGTTACTGTTATTAATTTTTACTCATTACAAGCTAAATAGAATTTAAATTATATATAATTTTTGTACTAATTTATATATATATATATATATAATATTTATATATATATATATATAATCTTTACTTACTAATTTTTTTTATATAAATTATAAATTATCAACCGTTTATATCCATCTATAATCTATCTAAATAAAATTATTAATTATTGTTCTAATTTTAATTTATCAATACTATATATAAATGTAGAAATAGGAAAAAATAATGGAATTTTCGATAGCACCTTTAATGAAATTTGAATATTTTAAAATAATTTTAGTTATAACCATTGAGAAATTATATTTTATTAATTCAATTGGATATAATTTATTAAAATTATTTTTTAAAATAAATACATATGGATAATTAAGCATTTCAAAATTTTAAGTTGAATCATTTTTCAATTTATTTTTAATAAAAATATATATGACAATGAGACATTTGAAATTTTTTATATTTTATTGTTTATATTTTTATTTTTTAAATATTTGATTCTTTTATATTTTATTTTTTAAATATTTGATCATGTTTTTATTATAATTTAAAATATTTTATTTAGGAGAGAGATAAAAAAAGAAAAAATATATATTTTTTACAAAATTCTTTTTTTTTGTGTTTATATAATTTGATCGGATATATTTTTAAAAAATGAAATTTCAAATAGAATATACAAAACTATGCCTACTTTTTATAATTCATTTTTAAATAAAATGAACATATGTGTGTGGAATAATGAACAGTTAAAAATTTTAATTTAAAAATATATAAAATATTTTGTTGTTCTATCTATATATATATATATTGAAAAGTATTTATTGAGTGATATTGTAAAATGGTACATATACACTTATTAGGTGATATTGTAGACTCTTAGATTAATGACGACATAAATTGAACCGAATGTGTGTGTATATATATACACATTACTGTTTTATTGATTACCCATTATATTCACATTAATCTCATATGGAGTTTTGTTTTAACATTATAAAAATCTAAATAATATAAGACAAAAATTATAATCAATATTTAATGTTGAAATATAAATAACAAGTAATGTGAGCAAGACATAAAAATTGAACGAGTACGAATAACAAGTATAATCAACATACAATACACATCATAAAAAAATTAGTATATATAAAAGTATGATGGAGAACATTGAGTTCTTAAAATATCCCTGCTAAATTTATGGATGGATAAAAATATTATTGAGAATTTTAATTTTATTGGTTGAAAAATAAAAATAATTTAATTTTGATTAGTTATGTTAATTTTCTATTTGAATCTAACTTTTTTTTGGAAGTTTAATCTAATTTTAAGTAGGAAATTATCTCGTTTAACCCATTATAAATTAACCAAAAAATACAATAAAATATTATAATTTAAAAATTTTATATTAATCCCATTATACTACTTTGTGTGTGTGTGTGTGGTGTGTTATACATATATATATATATATATATATTATATATATATATAAATATATATATTTATATATATATATATATATTAGTTATAGATTATATATTATAAATATTACTTTAAGTATAAATATTACTTTTAAGTATTTGTTTTAATTTAAATTTTAATAATTGCTATGTAATGTTATATATAAAAAAAGTATTATGTTAAAAATTTTATATTAATCCTATTATACTACTTTCTATACGTAGGTAATATAAATTAATTATTAATATAAGTATAAATATTACTTTTAAGTATTTTATTTTAAATTAAGTTTGAAAATTTGCTCATTCTACTCAATTAGGAATATTAACTCGATTAGGAATAAGAAATTAACGTAAATAGACCTTAAGTATAGTTCAAGGAGTATATAACACTTTTAGTTATTAATATATTTATCAATATTAGTTTTTTTATGACGTGCGTTGCATATTGATTATGTTCGTTAGACACTCATTTTTTACGCTGTTTTAATTTTTTGATCTATATAATATTAAAGCATAAATTGTTATTTAGATTAAAATAAATACAATTTGTTAATTCGTAATAGACTTTATCATACAAGCTCCTAGTAATGCTACTTCTTACTTGCTATGTTATTTCTTATGTGCTTAATTTTATTTTTATATAATGAAGTGGTTTTAAAATAAAGTTCAATCCAATCTATATAAATAATCCTTTAGTCCCTAATTTATAAATATGGATTCTTAAAACACTAATAAGTGCCCAAAAAGAAAATCAAGTCATCACTCAACCCCCAACCTCTTGCCCTTAATCCCAAATCAATATCTATAAAATGAAAAATTATTTTTTGCTAGTATTTAACAGAAAATAAATGAGAAGATGATTTAAATTGATAATAGTAATCATTTTAGTTATAATGATAGTATTACTTACCCAGTGCAGTAGAACGAATATATGATCATACACACAAATTTTTGAAACCGAAAAAATGAACCAAAACATAAATATATAGTTCTAGTTTTTTTCAATTTGATAAATACTATTTTCTTTCAAGTCAAATAGATTTAGGATATAAAAGAAAAAAATATAATAAAATTAAAAATGCGTAAGCAATTGGCCATCTATTTAATGCAAGAAAAATATAAATATCTTACTAAATTAAAGTGAGCCATATGAGATGAAAATCTCATATACGGTTCTGGAACGGAGATTCTTTGAATCGAATAACGACCGTAACGAATGTCTGCTCAATCTGAAGGAAATACTGGTTACAAATTAATTCAATAACGAAAAAGAAAATAAAATATAAAAAATTGTTATTAAGAATAAAATTCTTTTAAGAACTCAAAATATAATAAGAAATAAATTATATTAAAAAAATTATCAATTTGAATTTTAAAAATCAACCCTGGAAAGACTATAATTTAATGAAATTTGATGTTGACGGATAAAAAAAAAAAGCCAAGTCAATAAATAAAAAATACAAAGTAAATCATACTAGGATCCAATATTGGTCGGTTAATGAATTTATTCAGGTAGTTTGTTTCTCTATTATTCTAAGTTGCAAATTTAAATAAATAAATAAGTAAATTAAGTAATGAGAAAAAAGATTACATAAAAGAAACATTATATGATCTCCAAATAAATCCTCAATTTTCTCGACAACCATACATAAACAAAAAGAATATATTTTTTTCTTTTTATCTCTCTTCTAAATAAAATATTATGTATATTTATTTTTTTAAAAAATATCCAATCAAATTATATAAACATAAAAAAGAGTGTACTTTTTCTTTTTTTATCTCCCTAATAAATAAAATTATTTTAAATTATAATCAAACTTTTTTTTATCTCCCAATAAATAAAAAATTATTTTTAAATAATAATTCAAAAATAGAATCAAATATTTAAAAAATAAAAATATTAAAAAATTTAAATCTCTTGATTATCATATATAATAATATTATTAAACAATAAATTTAAAAAAAAGACAAAAGCAAAATTTGTTTCTTAATTATCTGATGTATTTATTTACTTAATTATCTGTATGTATTTATTTAAAAAATAATATTTATAAATTATTTCCAATCAACTAATAAAATATAATTTTTTAATTGGCTGTGACAAAGATTATGTTAGGATATTTCAAATTTTAGATAAACTATCTATAGATATAGATAAATATTTTTGTTAAATTTTATTTTCTATTTTATATCAAACAATATATCTTATATGTATCCTCAATAAATAATGGAATAATAAATTATATTTATCTTTTTAAAATAATTATAACTAATCAAATTAAATATTTAATAAAAGTAAAAACAAAACATATTATATTCTTCTCATATTTAAAATGTACCTTATATAGTATAATTTAACCAATTAAAATCAAATTACTTTTATTTTTTCAACCAATATTATCAAAATCTTAAAGATATTATATTCTTTTACCACATTTAATAGATACCTTATTTATTATATAATACAGTTTCTTAGTTTATCCAATAGAATTTGGATTTGACTAGAAGTTTTTTGGAATAGAAAATCTTGATTTTGTAATTTTTCCATGTTGCCCTAATAATAGTATGTATTATATTCTTATTTATAAAAAAAAAAAACATTAAAATAGGAGAGAATTATTATTTTATCCTTCTATTTTGTTAAAATTATTCAAATAAAAAATTAATTAGGACCATATGAATTTTTTATACTTTATTACTAACATTTAATAAAATAATATTAAGACTTGTTTTTCAACATCATTAAAGGTTTTAAATATAATAGCAAAATTTTTAATAAAATTTTAATAGTTATTTATTAGTTAAAGAATAAAATATTATAAATACACATAATAGTATAAATAGTAAAAGAAAAGATCGAAATAGTAGCATACAAAATTTTCTGATTAAGATTTTTAATAATATATAATATTAGTATTATATTTTTAAGGTAACATACTAAATTATATATAA